GGCGAAACGTGCTTCTGGGATTAAGGAAGACCAAACATCGGAAAATTCCAATGCTTTTTTCTTTCTTTCTTTCTTTTTTTTTTTTTTTTTTAAAGACTGCATAGTCTTTGCATTAGGTTATGGTTTGGGGAATTACTAGGGTTGTTCCAGTTGCAATTTCAAATTTTTCTTCATAATCGTAAGGGTGAGAAATATATTCTTTTTTTGTGATATGAAAGAAGGGGATTCATTTGTCTGCAGCAGATAAGAAAAGCACCAAGTATTTTGAGACCGGTTTAAAACCAGTGATACATGGACAGTTTTATAAATTGCCTTTATTGCTGGTGTTTTTCAGCAATTCTAGATGCCCTGACTCTACATGCCCACATGCTATGTTAGCTGTGCATGAACTGGCATTGACTTTCTCGGGATCAGCCAGGGCTTGCTGTGCAGCAGGAGGCTGCACCAGCTGAGCTGGGATGCCTTCCTCCCCACTCTGCTCTGGAGATGTCCGCTTCTTGCTGTCTTCAGCTTTTTGTAGGAAGTCCTTGCTCTGAAAACGCTCAGCTTGTTTATAAGCTTGCTCAGGACCCGTGCTCCTTTGCAGCTACGGCTCCTGTAATGCAGTTACCCCTTGGAGCCCACTTTATTTTCTCGCCCAGGTGGCTGCCAACAGGGGTATGGGCTGGGGCAGTTTTATAACCTGATGGAAGCCAAAAAAAGGACCACGCTCTGGTCAGCTGCTTATCAGCACCCTCACCTTGGCCTGTGGGACCCCAGCTCTGCCACCTTCTCTTTGCCATTCCCAGACTGGTCTTTTCCCCACTGTCGTGGTGAGTTGAGCTGTGTCCAGCCCAGTGGGACCGGGGTGGGAAGGTGAAATGTTCAGCCGGGCTGTGGAGGAAGGAGCAGTTTATTATTTGTTGCCATTGGATACTGATAGCAGAGTACCAATTTTAACTGCAGCTGTAAGGCTGCCCAGAGTATGGAACCAGCATCTCTTAAAGTAATTGGTGGTTCTCTCTTTGTCCAGGAAACGTTCATAGCTATCTTTCAGGGGCTGCAGTACTCCCCATGGGCTTGTAGTGCCCTTTTTTCTGGTGAAGCTTACCCTTGGGAGCTGGGAAAACAGGGCTCATCAAAAATAAATTGGAAAGTAATGATCAGAAGGAATGTTGTGTGTGCAGATATGTTGTATTTTACTAAAAATAAAGGGCCTGGGGTTTTCTTGAGATTTTTTTGTTTGTTTAGGTTTTTTTGCTATAGATACACCAAACTGTTTTGCTGCAAAGCTTAGCACTGAAATCAAGGCTCTTGGATGCTGAAGACAGACCGTGTCAGGGACTCAGCATGGCTTGGTTGGTTTGCTGATGACATGGTCTGTGGAAGCTGCAGAGCTGCCTGCACAGAATTCCTAAAGACCAATGTTCAGGATTCAAATGTTAAAAATATACAAGAGCAGCCCTTGGGCAGTGATGCCCTGCCTAACGGCCCCACCTAATTTCCCCTCTGAAGTACATGCACTGCTATAAGTAGTTCTGGCACCTGCTGAAACAAGAAATGTTTCTTTCCCTGAAACCAGACACTAGCAGTGGTTAATTACCACATCCCAAATTGGCACAGATTAATGCGGCTTCACTGAAGCTGATGAAGCTTCATGGAATTATTCCTGCCCTGGCTCCGAGTCATTAATAGGTATAGTTCTGGCTATTTTTATGCGCTTCAAATTATTTTATTAGATTGTAAAAGCAATTATCAGTCCTGTTTTTTCCTGGTTAGGAAAAAAAACTTTCTCTGTTGTAATAAATTACTGGGCTGAGTTTTTCTTGTGCTTGTTTTACGTGGACTTCACTGGTCAGCAAACTTAGCTGTATGAGAGCTAGCTCTCACTGCCCTGGAAATAGGGCTATATCAAAGTGAGTGATGTACTGAATTTGTTCCTTTTCATGTATAGAGGCAGTATAATAGATATACATATCTGTGTATGCGTATATACACACTGCTACATATCCTGCAATATCTATGTACGTGCATGAAGTAGTTTCTTTTGAACAATGTTTGGGTATGTCATTGAAGTGCAAAATCCTGTAGTAAGAGTTTTCTTGATGCTTGGAGAAGTGCACCATTCTGGAAGTGACTGCTGTGGCTACATGATAACTAAACAAGTAAAGCTGTGGCCTGAGGAGTGGAGTCAAAATAGCTGGAGCTGGGACCTAAACGGAGATAGAGTTCAGACAAGTCACAAAATATCAAATTAGGGCTTACAACTGTGGGACTGTTATGAAAATCCTGCTTGTAGATGTTGTCTGTTATAATTATTCCATGTCATTTTTTCTGACCAGTAACTTTTTCCCCAAGAAGCACTCGCCTAATAGTAAGTGAAGTGCTTTTATTGTAATGTTATCTCTACTGATTCTACATTGGCTTTACAGCCTGATACCAAGGGCCTCCAAAGAGGCCTGGAGCAGCTGTGCTACTGGTGCCTGTATTCCAGATCCCTGTGATCTCCAGCAGCAATACAGCTGCTGCTTGGGGCTGCATCTTTCTAGTTCATCTGTAGGCTTACGTGTACCTTGGCACTCTCTTAGAGACTGGTCTCATGGGGAGGTAGTTAAGACAGAGGATGTGACCTGTTAAGCTTTCAAACCCTTGAGGATTTTTATTCTGTCAAAAAAAAAAAAAACAAAACCCAAACCAAATGCTTGCCTGGCTGATTAAGAACTAACTGCTTTAAAGTTAGCCCTATTAAGATCAGGCCCTGCAATCCCAATACTCTGAAGTTTAGTGCCAGATGGTGTATCTCTGTGTGTGCAAACAAAGTTAGGCAACAAAAGAAGCTTTGTATCAAAACAATTTATTAAAAAACAATAAGCTTCACTGAAGCTTGCTATCCTCAAGACAAAATTATGACATTATTGCAGCATCATAACACAATCATAATCCACATATAAATATAATACTATATAGCTCCTGTTCGCCTTGGCCAAGTTTTGCCTTCAACTGCACGGAGACAACCCAGCCCTGCATACTCTAGTTGCAGAACCTGTTCCTCCAGGAACAGAGTTGTATCCCTTCCTGGCTTCCAGACAGCAACAGCGCTGTGTGGCATGAAGTTGCACAGAAACCCAACACATCTCTTTGCAGCTAGAGGCAGTTCACAGAACCAGTGTGAACGCACCGAGTGACTGACGATGGCAGCGCTGGTTGATGTTTAGGAAAAATAAGTACACAACCAATTACTCAAGTTGTCAGCGCTGCACAACTGTACAGAGCAGCTTCTGTTTACAGGAAGGAAGCTCTGTTCTGACCTGCTGCATCGCCACCTCAGCTGCCACACACGGACTCTTACACCCCACAGTTTGGTCTAATGCATGGAGTCCCCTCTCACTGCAGCACTCGCAGTGAAGCACTTTGCCAGCAGCTTCTTGATGGCACTTCTGCCATCCCCTCTGAATGTCCTCCAACGGCATCAGTCTTTGCTATCGGCTTTGCAGCAAAGTCAGTATTTGTCCTTGCACCATGGCAAACAGACTGAGCGCTTGGTATCTCAGTCTTTCAGGTCAGGATGCCACCATGAGCTGTGGCTTGTTTCCTCACTAGCTGAAAGGCTTCTTCTCGCTCTTCTCCATCTCTCATGTCCCCTGGGCTGCTCTGGTGACAGGTGCCTTCTTGCACAGCTCCTGATAGAATTCAGATTCCAAAAACCGGGGGTATGAGTTATTCTCCATTAAGCTGTAAACTCTCTTCTGTGCTGCGCTGAAGCAGGTATGTGTGGCGTCTTGAATATTCTGCGCAATCATGTTCTTGGTTTGGAAGTCTATGTTTATCTGGAATACAAAAAAAAAGGGATGGTTACTTCTGAGAACTGAATTAATGCAAGTAAAATACACCATAAAATTTCTGAAGAGGTAAAGACGGGAAGATCCTTTTACTACAGGGTCAAATTAATGAAGTGTCCTCTAATAATAAATTCTGCTTTTATACAGAACTCAAAGTAATTAAGATATACTGTCTTTCAGGGCTAAAATCAAGGATGTTACAGGTGTTAAATGTGGCTGTTGACTTTTCCCAGTGAAGATGGAAAGTCTATGAAATACTGCTTGTGCCACTTCCCAGCTCAACAAAAAGGCAGTTAGGGAGAGAGCTAGGTTCAGACACAGATATTAGCAGTGGGGTATGTACAATACAGTTTGGCATCTGTGTCTTAAGGTCAGTTCAGAGAAAAAAAGAAAGGCAAAAGAACTGATAGAGCAGGGCACTTATATTTAAATATAGGTTTTTCTTTACCTCTTTGGGAGCTTCCTTTTCAATGAAGTCATTGTAGATTTTTTTCGCTTTCAATGTCAGCTTCTGGGGTGACTTGGTTTTCTTGAAGTCCTCACAAGCCAACCAGAACTCGATGTTCTCTTCACAGAACTCAGACTTCAGAAAAGCTCGGAAAGCAGCAAGACCATCTAGGGAAAGAATAATAATAAAAAAAATACACATCAATTAACTATTTCAGGAATCTTGAATTTACCCATTGGTCACATCTGTTTCTACCAAAACATTTTGCTGTAGTTCTAGTCTGGTACTTTCAGAGATATCATAGCAATAAAAAAATTCCACATTTATGTATGCGAACAAGTTAACACTAACAGCTCGGCAGGCTTCACTTTGAGTTAGTCAGTTTTTAGGTAAACAAAAAATGAAAGCCATTTCTAGTCTGTATGTTCTCTTCTGTGATGCCTGCAGAGAAGTTCTATATTAAAAAAACCTCTCTCTAGATGGTATCTTCTGTGTTAACCTTTACACTGGAGTAAATATTTGACTGTGCCACAAGCCTCTGGCGTATTTTTTTTTTCAATGGAAAGGATGACTCAAGTTCAAAGAGCAAATGGTAATACTTCTTAGTCTCTTTGCTCTGCTCTTGAGTGCTTTTCCTTGTAGAGCTACAGTAAAGCCCTGAGATTGTTAGACTTCTATGTTGCAGAATCCTTCCCAAGTTACTTGAATGCATTTGTCTCGGTTAAACAGTGAGCTCAGGGAACAAGTGCTCTTTTCACAATTGGCAAAGCCAAGCTGATAGGTATGATTTTAACTAAAAGGATTAAAAAAAATTCCTCTACAACGAGGTATTTCTCATATTTTAATATTACTTTGCAATGTCTTTAAAGAGCACATCTATGAATTCTGGCTTTAAACAGTTTAAAGCATTTAACTTTCAAAGCTATTTACATTAGAAAGGTACAATGCTGACATGCACGGAAGCAGTCTCTTACAGATATATAAACTTCACTACCCCTTTGCTCTTGAATGTTACTTTTTGAAGACAAACTTACATTTATTAGCAAGAAGTTCATCAAAGGCTTCTGACCACAGCTGGGCTTCTTCAGGGGAAGGTCTGTACAAAGAGATGAGGAACATTAGACTCCATTGCTCAAGCTTTACTGTTTTTTTTTTTTTGTAAAACACTTGAGTTATTTAAACAAAGTCTCTCTTTCATAACTTACCTGAAGTAGGTGCGGTGTTTCCCCGCTTTCTTAGATTTCATTTTAGTAGAATTGGAAGAGTTCTGCAGGAAGTAGCTCAGTCTCGTTTTCCAATCTTTAATGCTGGAAGAACAAAGGAGATGCACATTAAAAATGATAACTCGGAAAGCTTTAAACGCCATCTCCTTTACTGGCAAAAGCTATCCTGACGTCGCTTTTCCAGTTCGTCACCCAGAGCACCCCTCTGAGGGCAAGAAAACCATCTTCCCCTGGCTTCTGCCAACAGATGTGCTCGCTGGCCAGTGACCAGTGTTGGCCAAGGTACAGCTGGAGGCAGAGGTGGGCAAGCTGCCCCCCTCCCACGGACACCCCAGCTCTGCAGCCCGATTTCCCCCCCCAACCCCAACCCGGCTTCGCCCCGGCTCGGCGGGTGGAAGCTTCTCCCTGCGGGGAACCCCCGGGGGCTGAGAGACCCCGGGCAGGGGGAGGACACTCACATCGTCTTCTTCATCCTGCCTTTCTCAGCCTCCTCTGCCTCGCTGCGGCGGCGGCCGCTCCGCTCCATCCGCCCGCCGTGGTGCTGCAGCGCCAGGAACAGGGCACTCTGCATCGCGACCGGACACAGCCCCGGAGCCGCCGCCGCCGCCGCTTATAGGGCCTGGCGGGGAGGCGGGGCACACGCACACACACCCACACACACACACAGCCCGGGACCGCCCCGGACCCCCCCCGCCGGGCGGCGGGGCTGGAGCTGGGGCTACGTGCAGGAGGGCTTTCTGCTTTTCCCGGTAAACCGGTGTGGAAAAGATTTGCCATCCCCTCGGGATTACGTCTCTTTTTCCCCTCTATTTTGCTTTTACTTTCTTTTCTTGTTTTTCTCCCCCGTTTCCCCCCTCTTTCCCCCCCTGCTCTGTTTCTCCCCCCCCTACTCCCCTTTTTTTCTCCCCTTTTTTTCTCCCTCCCCCAGTACAGGTTAGGAGCTGACTTGCTGGAGAGCAGCTCTGAGGAGAAAGACCTAGGAGTCCTGGTGGACAATAGGGTGACCATGAGCCAACAATATGGCCAAGAAGGCCGATGGCATCCTGGGGTGCATCAGGAAGAGCGATGTTATCCTGCCCCTCTACTCTGCCCCGGTGAGGCCCCATCTGGAGTACTGTGTCCAGTTCTGGGTTCCCCAGTTCAAGAAGGACAGGGAACTGCTGGAGAGGGTACAGCAGAGGGCTACAAAGATGATTGGGGGCCTGGAGCATCTCCCTTACGAGGAGAGGCTGAGGGACTTGGGTCTTTTTAGTCTAGAGAAGAGAAGGCTGAGGGGGGATCTGATCAATGCTTATAAATACTTAAAGGGTGGGTGTCAAGAGGATGGGGCCAGTCTTTTTTCAGTGGTGCCCAGGGACAGGACAAGAGGAAATGGGCACGAACTTGAGGATAAAAAGTTCCACCTAAACATGAGGAGGAACTTCTTTACTTTGAGGTTGGCAGAGCCCTGGAACAGGCTGCCCAGGCGGGTGGTGGAGTCTCCTTATCTGAAGACATTCAAAACCCACCTAGACAAGTTACTGTGCAACCAGCTCAAGGTGAACCTGCTTTGGCAGGGGGGTGGGACTAGATGATCTCCAGAGGTCCCTTCCAACCCCATGTGATTCTGTGATTATTTTTTTTTCATTTTCTCAACTTGCCCTTGCCAGTCACCCTCTTGGAAAGCCTTCACCACTCACACTGACATCCCTCGGGAAGGGCACCCGTCCCTGCAGCGCTGGCAGGCAGGTGGCGCTCCTTTCTGTTAATCAGAAACTTGCATTTCTGCAGATTTTTTTTTTTTTTAAAGGAAATACAGACTTCTGAGTGTGGCCAGTATATGAAAAAGGATAAGGAAGGACTTGGCCAAGTTTCTTCAGAAAATGAAGTAACCATAAATTTGAGTATATGGTATTTTTGGTGTCCACCTCGCTGCTAGCCCAAGCTATTCATCACTTTAATAAGCTGTCTGCACATGTGTTTTATCTCTGTAGAGTGTTGCCACCTACCAGTGACTTGTGTAAATTACTCCCAGTACTACGAGGCTGAAATTGCAATGACTTATTTCAGCCTCGGGCTTGTTGAAAAGGCCATGTGGTCCTTCTCAGCAGTGTCCAGCTCAAGGGTATCATGTCCAAAGTATTTGGATTTTAAAAAATCATGTGAGTTTCTCTTTAACCTACTCTGCTTTTCTGCTATTTTCTGTGCATGTGTCTTCCTTTCCACAGCATTCTACAGCATGTATTTTTCTGCCATGAAAAGCAGCATTCAGAGAGACTGATTCTCAAAGCACCGGCTGGCTTCAGTGCAATCGTGTAGCATCAAATATCTGATCCTTTTAGGTGGTCGTTGTGGTCTTACAACTTCTCTTCTTGCTGAACACACATAAAGCTGTGCAAAGGCATTTTGCTTTAAATGAGATGTATGGAGAAAATGAGTGCCACTTAATTTGTGAAAGCATTTAAACAAGGATGCTTTTCAGTGCTGGCCGTTGTAAATCCTTTGCAGTATATATTGATGGTCTGATAGGAAAATAAAGTTCCATCCTCTAAATTTTGCCTGTAAATGAGTTTTGTAACAGGTAGGCTCTGAGTCTTGTATATAGTATATTCATGGGAAATTATTACAGGGGTGTTAACATGGGAGGGGGGAAATGTGGAAACACTAACAGAGGTAAGGCTCTAAGTGCTGTAAAAGCATCAGTTCCAGAAAATTTACAGGGGGGAGCTTGCCAAAAAAAAGAGCAGGGCAGGCAGTGCCTGGGTGATGGATGGAGCCGCGCTGACTCCCTTCCAGGCGCTTCCATCGTCACTCGCTTTGAGTGCCAGGGTCGGACGAGCTGTGCAGCTGTGAGTGATTTGGGCAGGAGCCTGCCAGGAGCTGCTGAACAGCCTGTAACGCGTGCGAGGACGGGAACAATCTCCGCACGTGCGAAACTCGCAGCATGCAGCCTCCTGGTTGGGGTGGGGGAGGGAGATAAGGCTGCCTTGCCTGGGAGTAACAGATCAAAACTCAGCCCTGGGCCTTACCCACAGCAGAACCTCTGTAAAGGATCAGATGCTCTGCCAAGGGAACAGTACATCCTCGCTTTCCACCTGACTTGTAGGAGATTTCCCCGCCTTTTGATGCTGGTTTCAGGTTTCTTTCACCTTGATTCTCAAAAGTTGGTTGAAGGGGAAACGTGTCCAAGAATAGTGGGAATTGGAAAACTTCAAAGTCTCATAAGCTACAGTAAGGTTTGGTTAAGCATTTACTTCTTGGGAGCTTACCTGTAGCGCACCAGAGGTCCTGCTGACGCTTGGAGCCTGACAGGATGTTTTGTTGATGGTCCTGGAGGAGACTTGCTGGGATAGTCCTAGCAACTGCCAAGTCATAAAACTGGCAGTCGTCAGCGTATGGAAAATTGCAGCATGAATCACGTATTTGTCTGATACTTTTTATTTTAAACTTTTAAACTGCTTCTTTCAGATACCCATAAAAATGCAAGTGCCAGTCGAGGAAGATAGTTGTAACATTTGTAATATCTTTAAACAGTGGAAAAAATAGTGTTCCAGGTAAAAAAAAAGTAAGCTGAATATGGAATTGTGAGGTTAGATGGCCTTATAAAACATTCTTATTGTAACATTTGGTTTAAAAACTATTTAGATTAAAATTGAATTTTATTGGCTGCATTGAGGTATATTTTAAATTTACATTTTTATTATACTTTTAAAGCCTGGATATCACTGTTTTCTTTAGTAAAAGAGAAACTTTACAGAATACTTTATCACTTCATCATGGTTTGCAGTGTGTTTTGTGGCTACGACGCTAACCTTTGCAAGCAGGTCAATCACACATCTGCCTGATAAAAGATCTTTTCCATTTGTATTCAAAAAAAAACAAGCAAAGAAAAAGCATCTGACCTCAAACGGTGTCACCAATGTACTGTACAATGACCTGGGCAAGCCTGGGACAGGGGGAGATGCTTCTGGGAAGGAGCCGCTGGCTCCCCTTGAGCCACCTCCCCCGGGGGTTGTAGGTGTGCAGCCCCAGCTCACTGCACCACCAGCCACTGCCTGCAAGGGTGTTTGGGCTCAATGAGCTGCTTTAGATACACCAAACTTCAGTATTACTTTGTTTTACCCATTTCTAGTTTTTTGAAGCAAGGATGGCAAAACGGCTCAGATCATTAGCCCACCTTTCTGAAGGTGGGTCTGGTTTCACACAGGTGCTGCCACGTGCTGACTTGACACCAAGGGAGGTTTGGCGTCCGAGCCCTGTCCTACACCGTCCCGTGCAACGTTATTTTGAAAATTTCAGGAAAATTGCGTATTACTCCTTCCTGGAAAAGCCCTGGATTGCAATCGCAGCACAGGTTCAGATGTGTTGGTGGAGCATAGTGCGTAACGCTGCTGAAAAATAAGCGCCTCCAACTCGAGATGCCTCTTGTCGGGAAGAGGGCTGTGGGGTGGGCGACCCGGCCTGTGTGGCTCAAACCAGCGTCGCGACCAGCTCTCCAGATCAGTCTGTGTGTACGCTGACCTTCGCTCTTTCAAAACAGTGAAGCTCTCGCTAGCTGAGGACAAATACAAACATAGCACCAAATCTTTTCCTTTACGTGTTTCTTAAAGGTTCAGTCTATTTCTGGAACGCTAATCTCATTGTCACAAGGAGCAAGGCCAATGGAAAGTGATGAGGGGGGAAAGCCTATAGCCCAAAACTTGCTATTGAAGCTGGTGAGAATTTCACCATCACCTGCAGTGAAATCTGATGTTAGACATTTAGTGACACAAGCTATCACCCTGGAGATCACACTTCTCTTTGCAGAGGCTTTCTTGAGAATGTTCTGTTCTTTTTCTGCTTATATGATTCCTTTGAGCACTGGTGGTGGCTGGATGTACAGAGGGCTGTAACGTATGCAATAAACAGCCAGGATGGGAGATGAGGTTTTTTCTGTCTCGGTTACGTTATATGTTGCAATAGCTGTACTGATCTTTCCAAGTCCCTAGTGAGCAGTTGCTCTCACTGCATAATACTCAAATCTGTGTCTGCATTTTCTGAAATGCCAGTCCTTGTTTCTTCTTTTTATAGAGAAGACTTGGATGGTAGGAAAGAACACATGAAAAATGGTTCCAGAGACTTTATAGCTGCGTTTCATAAAGCCAAGAGGGGAGAGTATGCTTTTGCATGGTTCAAACCATGCATTACAGTTATTTGTGGGATGCCTTATTGAACCCCTGTTGTCTTTGACTAACTGAAAAATCATATTCAAAAGAAGGAATAAGATGTTGAGCTATATATTTTGTTTTGTGATACAAATTGCACAGGTGCACTTTCCTGTATTTTTACAGCGTTCTCTTTTAATTTACAGCTGTACAGTCCTGGTGCTGTGTCTGTGAGATGGTTCATGTAAGCATCAGAACAGGATTTCAGTGAAGAATGCCACAGTGCCACTTATAGTAGCGTCAACTGAGCCTCTGTTCTTACCTCTCTTTTAGGCTGTCTCTCCTCTGAGGCACGGGGGACTGATATGTATTTGTACAAAAGAGCACAGAGGTGCCCAGCTAAGGACAGAAGCGGTGTGCTTTTGCGCTGTGCATTGTTAAATAATAACAATCATG